AAAAAGAGGAGGATTAGCATGGATGTTAGCTCAGGGCTGATCTTTCTCAAAAATAAATAAATTAATTAAAAAAATAAAAAATAAAATGTTTAAAAAAATAAATAAAAAAAATAAACAGTAAATGACAACGCCCTCAAGCCTGCTTTTCTTCCTCCCCCCCCCCCAACATTCTCAGCTTCTCTCTCATCCACTGTCACAGCTTCAGTTAGACGATGAAGATTCCCATGCTTACATCTCCAGCTTGGACCTCTCTTATGAGCTCCTGACTTGTAAGCCTACGAGTCTACTCAATATCCCTACTTGGATGTTCCATAAATACCTCAAACCTAAATACTCCAGACTGAATTTGTCATTTTCCCTCATATCTTTTACTCTTCCACCATTATTTATCCAGATGCTTCAACAAAAAACTTGGGAACTCACCTTGACTACTCCTTTTCCCTCCCTCGCCAAGTGCTTTTGATTCTATCTCTTAGATATCTTTGACTCTTCAACCCTATTACCATCACTTGACACAAGTCTAAATTAATATCATCTCTTTCTTGGACATCTTAGAAGCAACACCCTCCCAACAACTTCGCTGCTCTCCCCCCACCAATATACTGTCCACCTTGCCACTAGATCTAATGGCAAACCCTTCAATGCCTCCCCATTGCCTACAGGATAATGTTCAAATTCCTTGGCATAACATAAAAGGTCCTCTATCACGTGACCTCTGTCTAACTCTTCAGGTTACACTCTCCACCTCCTTGCATTTGCTCCAGAAATATCAAACTACTTGACGTTCTATGTTCACACCACATTTCAGGATTTTTGTATATGTTCTTCTCTCTGTTTGGGATAGTCTTACCTAATGTCCACCTGCACACTCCTCTTCAACCTGCAGAATCTGCTCAGTCATCACCTTTCTTGTGGATCTTCTTACTCCCCACTCTTCCAGAACAGAACTAATCATGACTTCCTTTGTACTACGTCTCTGAACTTTGTACACATTTGGAAAAAATCTGTTTATCTGACTTTCACACTAGAGTAGACACTTTTTGTGCGAAAGGGACTATTTTCATCATGACAGCACCTACCACAGCGCCTTGCAGAGAGCAGGACTCAGTAAGTGTTTGTTGAGCTAAAGTTCTGCTTGTTCTTGGATGAAGAAGCCCACTTCACACAGCATAGTAGATGGCACTTTGGGTAAATTATTTCAAATAATAAAAATAAAGATTTTGTTAAACAATGATACTGCTATGTCAAATAATTAGGAGATTTTAATAAAAACTAATTTCAGATAATCCTATATAAATGGAAATGTCAATTGCTTGACTCAAATTACACTTTATTTCCTTAGAAGCAGAGCATTTTATTGACTCTTCTCTCTTTATCACCCTTCACTATCTGAGTATGTCCTATCTCCCCTGTCTCTAAAACACATCCTAAATCTGCCCGTTCTCTCCATCCCACTGTTACACTGCCACTCCTGGCCATCATCGTGTCTCATCTGGATTCCTGAAAAAGCCTCCTGATTGGCCTGTTCTATGCACAGCAGCTGGTGTGCTTCTTTTCAAATACAGAGCAGATCCTGTTACTACCCTGCTTGCTGCAAAGCTTCCAATTGCTTCCCATTGCACCAGAATATCCAACCTCCTTATCATGGCATACACAGTCCTAAAGGATCTATCCTCCTGCACCTGTGCTACCTCTCTGACTGTGCCAGTACCACCACCCCTTGCCCACTACTCCTGCCTCACTCGCACTCTTTCTGTTCCTTGACCTCATTAGCACCTTAGAGCCTCTGTACTTTTTCCCTGGCCTCTCGATTCCTGCATGGCTGTCTCCTTAGTCATTCAGGTCTCAGTTTACATGGTTTCTCCTTAAAGACGTCCCCAACATCAACCAATTGAAAGCAGGAACCAGCCATGTGGTGTCACAACCCTGTTCTATTTTCTTCATAGTCCTAATCACTTAGCAGCAGAGTTGAGCGGTAAAGCACAACGACGTGGGCTGACTCTGTGGGCTTCAAGCCCAGCTACACCTCTCACCAGCTGGGCGGCCTGGGGCTAAGCACTTCATCTTTCAATGCCTCTGCTTTCAGAATAATATCAGCACCCACTTCATAGAATTGTTATGAAGGCTAAATGAGTTAATACATTTAAACTGCTAACCACAGAACCTGGCTTATAGTAAGCGTTCCATGCATGTTAGCTATTATTTCTTTATTTATTGTTTGGCTCTCCTTTCTGTACCTTACACTCACCCCACCACCACCATCCACACCAAGCATGCAAATCAAAAAGAGCAGAGACCTTGCTGCCTTGCCCCTACTCCTTTATGTCCTAGCGTGGGCCAGGTATATTTGTTGAATAAAAGAAGTATTGGAAACAGTGATGAAGGCTTTTATCTCAAACTGGTCTCATTTTTTAAAACTCCCAGATCTATAGAAGAAGCACTAAGAATTATCGCGGTTTCTTTGTTCCTGCTTAGTTTCTATCTCTTGGTGCACCACTTAAGGGAAGTTGCACTGCACTGGGAGGCAGGAGAAGTAAATATTGGCTCTATCACTTACAAATGAGAGAACTATAAACAAGCCGCTCTGGGCCTCAAGAGGCTCATCCACTAAACTGAACTTTTTTTTTTTTTTTTTTGGTGAGGAAGATCAGCCCTGAGCTAACATCCATGCTAATCCTCCTCTTTTTGCTGAGGAAGACCGGCTCTGAGCTAACATCTATTGCCAATCCTCCTCCTTTTTTTTTTTCCCCCAAAGCCCCAGTGGATAGTTGTATGTCATAGCTGCACATCCTTCTAGTTGCTGTATGTGGGACGTGTCCTCAGCATGGCCGGAGAAGCGGTGCGTCGGTGTGCGCCCGGGATCCGAACCCGGGCCGCCAGCAGCGGAGTGCACGCACTTAACTGCTAAGACACGGGGCCGGCCCTAAACTGAACTTGTTACTAGCGGCTGAAGATGGAAAGATGGGTCAGGTGTGGGAATTTTTGTTGTTGTTTCTCTGTTTTGTCATCAGCTCTAAGATCTATGATTTTACGAATATAATCAAAATCCAGGAAGAAAATACTAAAGTCCACAAGGTAAAATTTTAACTTATTTTACAGTTTATCTGAAAGCAAGACGTGTTAAGCAATCCAGTAGTCAGCTGGGTTTATCTTTGGGATTATTTCTAATCACCCAAAAGATTAGCTTCTAACTTTATTCACATACATCCACCCACCAACATATACATCTTTACCTGTCTACAGTTATATGCTTAATTAGTAACCACAAAAAAAAGATACAAAACAATGATCTCAAACTTGCAAGCTTGAAACAACATTGAAGCGTGCCCTTCATATGAATGTTTTCCTCCAACTTTGAACACGAAACAAACTTTCTTCTAATAATCTCATTATTGGTCCCAAATTTATGATTATTTCACTTCTTTGGATCAGATTAAATTTAAATTATTATATTAAGGTGCAAAATTATATGCACCAGGTCTTTTAAGGCCTCAATCAATAAGTTTGGAGTTGTTCTCTCACCATCTCCTTGAAATAGTTCTTCCAAATGTTTCCTTCTGGATCTCGGGTTGTAGTTCTGCTGGTGAAGTTCTCTCTCCCACTCGGTACCCACCCCTGCTCCAATCTTTAACAAGAAATCTGGATTCAAGTGCTTTTTCTGCTACCATTGACCCACTGAAAGAATTTTTTCAGGTGGTGTTTCCCCATTTATTTTTTCATTTATATTAGTATAGACTCCTGGATTTTTATTTTATTCAATGGTTTATAATCCATTATTATTATTTACTTTGATACCAAAGTCCCAGCTTTAGCCATTAGGAGATCCTTCAAGCTGCCACCTGTGTCCTTTGGACTAGTCCCCATCATTTTGGATCACTTCACTACCTTCTAGCACAACAGGTATTTTTGTGTATTTTACCTGCCCCAGCCCTGGAATCAGGCTTTTTTCCCAAAGAGCGGTGGCAAAGAGTTGTGGTTTCTTTTATTGGAGAATGGGACTTGGAAACCAGGACTTGGGTGCTAGATGGGCTACTGGCTTGTCGTTGTTGGAGCTAAGAATTTGTAATTATCATATCAGCTAGAATTTACATTCCATTGCAAGTCTGGCTCTAGAAGACCATGGATTTTTATTATCTTTCTCAGTATCTCCATTTTGAGTAAGAATGGCCCAACTGCTTTAGACAGACAGAGACTCGTCATCCTGAAACTATTCCAGGTTTCCATTCCAGAACCTTCAGGAGGGAGCCCTTGGTCACAGCGTGCAGTGCAGACCTGTGTCCTCCAGAGACCGCTGTGCTGCGCCAGGCGCAGCCCCAGAGCTTTCTCAAACCTGGAGTGTCTGCCGCACTTTGCAAGGACACCGAAGAGGGGGCACGTCAGCGCTCCTACTTCCTCCCGACGCCGCCTCTGATTGGCTCCCGGGCTTATAAGAAACCAGTGAATGAGCGGCTGGTGCTGGCAGAAACTTGCTGGAGGTCTTTGGGTGGCATCGCCGTTTCGCCCTCATCTACCCGCGGGCGAGCCAAGCCCGGGGAGGATGAAGTCGTCCTGTGTCCTGCTCACCGCCCTGGTGGCGCTGGCTGCCTATTACATCTACATCCCCCTGCCCAGCTCCGTGTCCGATCCCTGGAAGCTGATGTTGCTGGACGCGACTTTCCGGAGCGCACAGCAAGTGGTGAGACGCAGCCCAGCGCTGATTCTCTCTTCCTCCTCCTAAGCAGTATTTGAAGGGGGAAACAAAATTTCCGGACCCTGTCCCCCGAGAATGCATATTTTTCTAACGCAATGTGGCTATCGCTTTTTAAGGTGGTTCGGTCTGGCATTTTCAGTGTCGCATTCGCCTCCTTCTTGCTAGCAGCGGGCTAGATCTGTCTGCATTGGTGACGGAGAAGGTGAAGTTCTTGAATAGAATTTGACAACTGTTTAACCCTTCATCTGTCCTAAATATCCACCTCTTCCTTGGCTTGCAACGTCAAAAAACCATCTTTCAGCATTTTATAAACCATCCCTCCCCCATTTTCGTTCTCCTGTAGGGGCCGGCAGAGAGGAAGTTAAATGTTTTAGGAAGGCTCTGGGAAAAACAGGCTCTCATGCCGGGCGACGCAGCCACCTTAAGAGCAGTAGCGGGCATGGGCGATCGCCCAGCGTCCCCTGACTGTGGAGCTCTCCATCCCCGGGGGCAGCAGTCAGGGCTCCTGTAAGCCCTTGAGGACCCGCGGGGCTCTCCCATTTCGTGCGTGGCATTTGTCAGCTCAGCCTGAGAGGCCAGGAGGCCTGGCTGGAGGCGAGGCGGCGGAGGCGGCAGCAGCCGGTGTTCGCATGATGCATTTGTGTTCTGTCTGCCCTGCAGCATTTATTTTACGTCCTTGGAGGAGAAAACATTTGCCTGAGCCAGGATACCCTGGCTTACCCTGCCAGGGCAACATTTCTCTCTACAGTATCATGGGTGTGTATTTTTTTCCCCCCGAAGACAGGAAAATATAACTGTCTCTGGTTTGTTCTATGGTAAGAGGTGCTGTTTTTAGTGCCAGAGAATCTAAAATCTAGACTAGGATCTGCAGACCAGGCTGAGCCCTCAGATTGAACAGTATTTCTGAGCAGCCTGCTCCATCTAAACTCCTAACCCTCCTCCAGAACCAAGTCTCCTCCCTTCCCCTACCCTTGGGCATTAAAGGTTATTTTTGTAAACTCCTTTTTTTCAGGACTGACTAGAGAAAGAGAGACAAAAAATCCTGATTTTCCTAGAGGATTGATGCTCCTTTTCCTGTCCATTCTAATTGTGTGTAGGATTACGTAGTCTCTGAGGCTCTGGCCTATCAAAAATCTCCTTAGCTAGGGCATTGTAGCATATTCCTAGTAGGAATTTGCTTTTCTTGAACCCAGCCACACTCTCCACCCAAGCCACCTGTTGTCTCTTAGGAAGGGTCTATGAAGCTATAGATCCACTTCCTTCCCTCCTGCCTGCTATAATGTTGACATGGTGGAAGAATGACCATCCCCTTCTCTAGCATTGCTTCCAAGAAAGGCAGTCGTCATGTAGGAAGCCCTGCAATCCTTCTCCTCCTCCAGAAATTATGTAATTCCGGAGTAACATCCTTCAAAGATTCTGGGGTACAATGGTATTTACCTGTGTGGGTTAAATGGCCTTCTACAATAAGAATAATGGCTAATAAGAATAAGAAAAACAGGAAAAAAAGAATCAAACAGAAATTATTCTTAGTTTTCAGGTCACCAAGGAAGTATTCCCCACCATAAGTAATTTGGGAAAATCCAGGTTTGGAGAAGAGCCTTTTATCCTCAAGTAGGCTGCCAAACCATCAGAGGCAAGGCCTTTGGACCCCATGGTCCTTTACAGAATGTGCCCGCGGCTGTTGCTGGGAATGATAGTGTTAGTAAGGCCAAGTCACAGAGAAGGATGAGGTAACAAAATATGGTCATCTGACACTGTGGCTTGAGAGTGGGTTTGCACAGAAGTGCCTCTCATCACTTGTCTTCTGAACTGTGGGATATCAGCAAGATCATTCAGATCACATGGAAGCATATTCTACCCAGTAAAGCAATTTACCAATGTCACTTCAAATTATCCTGGGGAAAAGGCAATGTGGCTTTGCCTTTTTACACTGTATGTAAATAAGAGCATAACTGTTAGAGTCAGGCCTCCCTGAATCCCATCCCAGCCAGGCCACTTGGTGGCTGTGAGGTGAGGCAATTTACTAACCTTCTCTGATCCTCAGTTTTCCCTGTAAAATTGGGCTAATGGCTACCTTGTAAGGTTGCTGTGAGGTTTGGTAATGTATTTAAATGCCTGGAATTTGTTGTGGTTATTCTTTTAAAAGTTGTCCCAAAGGTCCACTATGGATTGTGGGGGAAATCGGTGGGATTGCCCAACTTTGCTGAAACAATATAACAAATGTAAACTGGAAGCATTTTATCTCATTGAATCCTGGAGAGCTACCACTAAATTGCATGCCAGATCATTTTAGTTAGAGTTGATTGGCTCAATTACAAAAGCAACTGAAGCTACTTCAGAGAGATGAAGCTTGGCCTACTTCTTAACACAGCAGGCACCTGCCTAGCATCAAGAAATATGAATGCTACCTTTATTCTGTTGACATTAGCAAATGTGTCACCCCTCTGTGCCCCTTCTTATCTCCTTTATCTTGTGCAGATAAGTCAGATTATTGAGATTATGTTCCTTGTACTTTTCTTCCTTGGGGTCCTCCAATATTACCTAAGAAGAAGCTACTTGGGATCTTTCTCTAAGTAATCTCAAATACAGATGCTACATTAGAATCACCTAGAGAGTGCCAATAAACCCCAATGCCCAAGTCACACTCTATACCAAATTTATTCAGTATCTCTGGGAGGTGAGTCCCAAGTATCAGTGGTTTTAAAAGCTTCTCAGGTGATTTCAATGTGCAGCAAAATTTGAGAACCAGTGCTCTTTAAGATAAATAAAATGCATTGCAGATGTAGATAATATATTTTCCTTAAACTGCTCAAGTTATATTGCACACATGTTACTGAGAATGAGCCCCTTTACATTAGCATGGATTAGTGTATCAGATTAGTTGGTTGATACTTGGGCTCTAAGAGTCTAAGGGGATAAAATACTAGCTAGGCAAATTTCAGTGTTATAGCAAAGCCATTGTAAGACTTGAGCAGTGGAAAAGCGCAAGCAAAAGGGGGTCTGGGAAGAGCAGTGGAGAGAGAGGTTTAGAGGAAGATTGGGCAACAGGAAACCAGAGGGACACAAGGAGGGAGTTTGGGCAGTTTACTGGTTTCAAAATGCTACGTAAGCAAAGATTTTTAAAAATGGTAATCCCAGTAGAGGTGAAGATACTGAGAAGTGTACACTGCTGAGTTTGGCAGTATCCGTTGGAAGCGTCTTTATTCTTTGACCCAGCAATTTCTCTGGATAAATTTCAGTAATCACGGATATAGGTAAAGCTGTAGCTATAAACATGGAAGCATTTTACAGGATCAGAAACCTTGTTCAACTAGTGCAAAAGCACTGCTATTTATGAGAAATATGGGGGAACATTCAGTAACCTTTTTTTCTTTCTTTTTTTGCAGCATTATTTAAAAGAATGAAAACATAAGAACAATAAGAAATTGAGTAAATTATGATAAACCCATATTTTGGAATACTATGCAGTCAAAAAGTTTAGGTTGTACAATAACAGTGAATGGCCTGCAAAAGATTTGTATTGTATGTTAAGTGGGAAGATGCTACAAAACAGCATATACGCCATTATCCCATTTAAAATATCTGTATATCAAAACATATAGTTATGTATATCTATATATATATATGTATAGAAAAAGCAGAAGGATATAATTTAAAATATAGTGATTTTTTCCTGGGCTGTAAGGTTATATCTTCACTTTTCACTTCTGTATATTCTAGTTTTTTTCTACAATGAACATGTAATAATTAGAATTTATTTAAAACCTTTTTTGTAGTAGGTTTTTGTAGACTTCCTACTTCTAAAGTGGAATTGATGTGCATACACATATCAATGTGGTTAATATTTTAGTAATTGTTCTATGAAGACAATCAGATTTCTTTAAAAAAGGCATCCTGGATCCCCTGATACAGCTGTCACAGTGGATACTGCATGCTCACTTAGAAGTAATTCCGATTGAAAGCCTACTGTTTGAGGTTTTAGGGAGATGCTAAAACGACCTAAAAGAAACTACAGCCTAGTAGAATGGAGAAGCCGTCTTAATATCCAGCTATTAAAAAGTTGGGAGCTGACAGGTATTACAGAAGAGGTACAGTTACAGAAGCTCATAGGAGAGAGAGGTTATGTACGGTTTAGAGGGCTGGTAAAGATGGTGACTAAAGGTAATAAGGGTATCTGAGGGAGTTCAGAGCAAGAGCTTGGCTTGTCTTATCTTGATCACCTCCTAACTTACTAGTTCTTATACTATGTATCTTTTCGATGACATAATGTAAAAGAGAGGTTGTTGAAACTGATATTTCTGCTGAATGTCCCACCTATTTCTTATGGATGACAGTGCTTCTGGACTAGTTGAGCATGATTTTTCATCCTGTAAAATGTCTCCAACCCTGTTGAAATCTAAAGTGATCTCACCTGGATTTTCTGTGCATGCTGTGCCTTCGGGCTGTGTGGGAGTGGTTTAACTGACAGCTCAGCTGGATGTTATGCAGAACTCCAACTTGCAAACCTTTTTCATAACCATTCATGACCTGAAATGTTGACTAATGTCAGGTAAATTTCAAGTCAGGAACTTGAAAACATTAGTAAATAATAAGCTTTGTCTACCTTCTTCCAGACCTGCTCTGATACATATTTCTTCACGTAAATTAGAGAGTTCACCAACCACAATAATTTTTAGCTGATTTGATGGGATTTTCCTTAAACACCTGGCAGCAGAAAGGCTTTAAGAATAGCTTCAAGGGGAGTATTTAACCAGTACTAGTTCTGACAGGTGAGCAGCCTGGGTTGGTCTCTGTAGACAGCACCTCCTGGTGGATCCCAATCGAACATTAAGGTCAGATTGATTCAGCTACGAGATCTGTTAGACAATGCCTAATTTATAGTTTCATTATTTATTTTTCCTAGAACTCTACACATATAGCCCTGAGCACAGAAATGCCAACATTATTACTTTATTTTAATGGGACATCCAATTTGTAATATGTGG